TGGACCTCCGCCATCCAGGCCGCCTACACCCAGGGCGTCCTCTCCGTCGTCGCTGCCGGCAACGGAGACGACAACGGCAACCCCCTCCCTGTCTCCAGCCAGTCTCCCGCCAACGCCCCCAATGCCCTGACCGTTGCGGCCATTGACTCCAGCTGGCGCCCGGCCTCCTTCACCAACTACGGTGCTGGCGTCGACATCTTCGCCCCTGGTGTCTCTATCCTCTCTGCCTGGATCGGCGGCAACTCTGCCACCAACACCATCAGCGGTACCTCCATGGCCTGCCCCCACGTTGCCGGTCTCGCCGTCTACCTTCAGGCTCTTGAGGGTCTCTCTACCCCCGCTGCCGTCACCAGCCGCATCAAGGCTCTCGGCACCTCCGGCCGCGTCACCGGCACCCTGTCTGGTAGCCCCAACCTCGTTGCCTACAACGGCAATGGCGCGTAAATCAACCTTTTATGATATGGTCAGTCATAGCATGAAGGAACCGTGGGTGTCAATAATATTAGGCACGACCATGTTTTCTTGAGCTATAATAAAGTAGTTGATTGGGATGGTAACTAGAATAACGATTAATTCAATAAGTCTTATTCACAGAACTGTGATTCTTGCTTGACTTCGAATGCTGGGATTCTCATGATACTAAGATGTTTGTAATTATATGGCGCGTAAAGAATGTCTCGTACGGTACACATCCTCTTGATATTCATGACCTTGACAGATATCCCATGCCAGGAGATAGTTCAGTCTTGGGGTGCCGGTTTGTAGTTGTCTTGGTGACATCAGAGCTATGCACAGAATCTTAGGCTAATATCAAGGACTTAATTCTTAGAACCTACATAATTATCGTTCTCTTCAGAGGGCTGTAAAGTCGATGCTCAGGCAGTGCGGACCGGCCACTCATACTACCATATGGGTAGATTGAGCATGATCATATCAATGGCTACATCTGTCGTTGATGAAGTAGGTCCCTTTGATTTAACTCTTTGGCATTGTTTATCGAAACGACATATCCGACGAATACTTGTCTAAGCTAGAAATTACCCCTCCACATGTTCTCTTTGTATGCCTCGAGGGTAGTAGCAAAACAAAGCGAAGCAAGACGCCTTCACCAAAGCCAATGATATCATCCTTTCCCTGAACAAACAGAAAACGCCCCAGCAATGAATAGGTAGTATGTGCAAGAATCTCTCCCGAAGTAGCTCTGAGCTACGAGGGTTTACGATCGGCCCAGAGCGTTGAACCAGCTTCTGCGTGGGTCCTCGGAGGGATCCTCGAAGACCTTTTGGCGGGCGGCTTCGCTTTGAGGGTTGTTGTACTTAGAGAAGAAGCGATCCATTTGCTGAGACTCAGTCTTGAGCTGGGATCGGATGTTCAGGGCGACGGCGGAGACTGCGAGGCGAGGTGTGTTAGTTGATTTCACTGGAGACGTGGTAGGGCTGAAAACTGGGCTTACCAATGCCGACGGTGATGGCAGCGGGGAGGAACCTGGCAAGAGCCGGGGTAGTGGTGGGAATTCTGGCGGGTTGGTTGACCATTGTGAGAGTTGTGGGTTGAAGTGAGGTGGTTGTAGATCGTGTGAGTGTGAACGGTGGGGTGGCTCAGGTAAACCGGGGAATAGTTGCAGTGGACTTTTGTGTAATTGAAACACTGAAGAGTTGAGCTTGCTTTTGTGTGGTCGATGTGAGACTGGAGTGCATCTAAGATCGTGTTTCCCCCCATCTTCGTTGAAGACATTTATGTATTCGAACTCGCCTGCCTCTCACCTGCTTCTCCCGAGCGTGGTGTGGTTGGCGTGGTCATCTTTCCCGGTGTTGTCTGTTGATAGTTCGACTCTGCTCGAGGGTGGTGCGGTGTTGCGGCCGGATCTGGCGGTTTGGTGGTGTGATGTGTGTCCCGATGGCGCGGGTCTGTCATTTTTCTCATTTTCCGGGGGGTTCCCTCCAAGCTGCAGAAGACCCAACTATCAAATTTTGGGCATGGAGAAGGCCGGAACCCCTGTTCTTTCATGGCTCCTTTGGGACCAAATGGGGGCAAGATCTTGCACTAAGCCTGATTACTCTTGCGCTATCCCTCGTTGGTTGGAAGGATTTTGAAGATCTGAACCTTTCTGCGTGGTGTCTCTGCCCAGCTGTGCTCAGCGTGACTCTGCAAGTCGAACGATGCATACCGGGTTCTCTTCGTAAGCATGTGCTCTCATTCGTCGGGTCCTCGCGGCGCAGCAGTCCAGAGCTGGCAGAGCGGGCAGTCCAGTCCCTCGGAAGGTGTTCTGTCGGGCCATGTTGGCCGGAGCACCTAGATTGATGGTATCATGGACTTCGCCGAGCGTAATTTGCGCCGAAAGGAATGAGGTCATGCCTCGTTTTCAGGCTCGCTGTTGGAGCTTGCGCGCAGCACGGGAATATCATGGCCCGAAGATATTGATTTCGTGTTTGCTCTTGATTGAGCATTTCATGTCGCGAAATAACGGAGAGCGCCACGGCAGACGCATAGTCCGGCAGCGCCGAAAGACACCTTTTCGGCCCTTGCCGCCTGTCTCTGTGCTTCCTCTGTGCTGGGCGCGTCAGCTGACGCCTGCAACCCAGTCGAGTTTGGAGGGTTAGCCGCTCTACGAGTCAGTTCAGAACCACACCAAAACTCCAACTTGGGAACGCCTTGTGCCGGACGAGCAACTTTAAGCCATTGTAAAGTGGGAAAGCAAGTTGATTTCCGCTGAATTCTCTTTATGCATGGTATCTGAGGTAAGATTTCTCGTTGTAACTCCATAATTCTCAATCAACATTGAACGCTCAAGTCAAGAAGTTGTCAACAGACCACTCTCTATGAACTCCCCACCATCGCGCAAGCTCCTTAGCAAGTGAGCTTGACATTCTGTAAAGTTGATTGAAAGCTGATGTTGCACTTCTCTCCTGCTGCCAAGCTGTATGTTTTCCATGCGTTCTATACAATGTCGAGAATTAGCATTGTTGCTTCCGCATTTTCGCCATATTTCCATGTAGACACCCCGACATCAATGGCCGGGGAGGGGCACATGTCTTTTGCTTACCTTGTTGGTCGTTGGGTTCCAAAACTGCACAGCAAAGTTCACCTGGTAGTTGACCTCGTTCTTCATATCGTAGAAGAAAAACTCCTTTTCGTAAGTCTTTTGGGTTGGATTCGTTCTGCCGATCGAAAGGGTTTGCAAGCCGACGGTGACGCTAGTGCCGATGTCTCTCGGGATGGAGTATGATGTGCATCTTAGTGGGTTGTTTCCATCGCCGGAGCCAACTTCAGCGCACCCTGCCTCGGCGATGCTAAACAAGAGAGACATTGCGCCAATCACGCCGGAGAAGCCGGAGAACTGCATGGCTTCAGACAGATAATAATTAGATACGGTGTAGTGTTAATTGTGGAGATTGAGTGCATACTAGGAATTGAGTTGTGTTTCTGTGTTCAACCAAGCTAGATCTTGCAGAGTCGGAATGGAATTGAAGTCGATGGAAATCTATAGGCATCTCCTGTTTTCCATGCAGAGGTCATGCTCTACATCATATACCTCATAGACTCTTCGAGCCAAGCAAATTATTACACTGTCAATTCTATCACTTTAAGATGATTGACTCGGTCTCGCACTCTCCCGCAACTCCTCTACCCAGCTTGAGCCAGCTTTGGCACGCACACGAGTCAATATAATGCCGTCTCAACGCTTTGCGCACCAGAATGAGGCTAGCCTCTCTATTTAAGCTTTCTCCACGAGATGAAACTCCTCTACCTTGGTCTGCACGGGAATTAAGACCCATTAAGGGGCTCACTACAGTCTACGAGTTCTCGTCAAGCGAGAGAAGTGCCATCAATGGTTGGAAATCTAGCTCAGTCGACATACTGGTCAAAGAAGATGGGATAACTAACCATTGCAGGGCATCAGCAAAGAGCCTGTAGACGGCCGCGTTTCGACAAGGCTCTGTTCGTCTCATTTATTGAATGCTTGACAATCCGCAGATTGTCGTGTCACAACTACCTATACTTGAAGTTATGCTGTGCCATCATTAACGCACACACACCAGATGTGCAGTGCAGCCTTCTTTAATTTTCCTCACCCCACCTGAGCCGTTTTTCGAAAGAGGCGGTCAAACAAAGGGAGGTGTACAAACTTTGTCGCAGGGGACTCACATTAATAGACTTGGTCATTGCCATCACTCAAAACGTTGGTGGAAACGCAAAGCCACTATGTCGTGTCCTTGAGCACGAAGCCCCTTTGAGCCAGGAAACCCTCGATATGTCTGGAGGGGGGTTCTAACTTGTGATCCAAGCGTCTATTCAAGACTCAGATTGAGCTTCCGGTTCGTCTTACCATGGCGGTTCATCCGGTGTAGTATTGTAGATCTGCCGAGAGTTGTGGAGCCCTTTGCGTGAGACCAAGTCCCGGAATCTTGGTTCAACTAGGCTTGGTACCTGTAGGTGCTCGCTGATACAACGTGTTGACAGCTTGGCCTGCATTCCATTGCCGATGTGTCAAACGACACAATCAGCATCGCTTCACATACGTTCCCCAGCGAAGGCATACCCGGGCCATAAACGTGATGTATTTGGCTTGTATCAGTATCTTCCTTTGGTGTTTAAACCAGAGTACTTCATAAGCTCAATTAACGACTCAAAGTTGTTGGACCCAGAATCCATTTCATTACAGCCTAACGATCTAAGGAGATAGCAAACCGGATTTTTCAAGGAGCCATTGATGGAAGCAAACGTTTATTTTCATCAGGGACTTCATCGTTTTCGGAGTATTCCATCTATGAAGGTAAAATCATGTTCAATGAATGTCCTGTTTAATGATGCTTTGTCGTTCCAAAGTATCGACGAAGAACAAAGTATGTACAAGAAGGAAATAAATCTTAGACCTCTATGGCCGTCGAAGCAAACAAACACAATCTCTTCGAGAATCCGGAGCAATACACAACTACTTTGGCCCAACACATATCCTATCTAGGAGCGTTGCGTTCTGCAAAACACTCATCGGCTACCAATTACTGAGGAGATCCTTGCCAAGTTTGATGGATGAGCGAGGGGTGGTTGGTCGCAGGCTCGATCGTCCTCTTGCTGCAGCCAGAAGAAACAGAGACGTTGTTGAATCGATCCGCAACCCAAGCCAGATAATCGACATGCGACGCCTGGAAAGCCTGGTCATGACCGAGCTCGGGATACAGAAGCAGCTCTGCAGGCGACTCGGGGAAAGCCTTGCAAGTTGCATCAAAGTCCTGCTCCATAGTTTCGGCGTAAGTGAGAATATCTTTGGTGCCCTGGACAACCAACATCGGGGCTGCCCACTGGTGTACGCCGGCTCCGTTGTAGCGCTCTTGCCAGTCAATGACATCGGGGTGTGTCAGCCAGCTGGTATTCTTGTACAGCTGAGTCTCAGTCAGGCTGCCGTAGATAGTACCGCCGGTCTTGAGACATCCCTGATTTGATAGAGGAATACGGCTGGCAACAATGTCGCTAACGTAGTCTTCTATCCGGATCGACTTCAAAAGCTTTGACAGAGACTGGAGGAAGTAGACGGATACCACATCTCCTACGGGGCCTCCGGCCGCGCGGCGGAATGACTCGGGGATGAGTGACAAGGGCCGAAGCGCAGGCGCAACCGAAACGGCACCGATGAATCCGCCAGTGGCCTTTCCAGCCTTTGCCTCTCTCTCGTTGGTGCGCCACGCAGTCAAGCCACCCTCGCTGTGTCCAACGACAACCCATTCCTTGGATAACCGCTCACCGAGGGCTTTGCGAGCTGCCTGAAGGCTGTGGCTCACGTCAGCAGCATGGAGTGCGCCTGACTCGTACATGAAGCCCTGGGGAATGTCACTGCCCTGGCCAGCATAGTCAGGTGCGATGACGGCGTAACCTGCCTGGGCGAGGATGAAGGGCGCCTCCCACTCATAGTAGAGTCCTCTATGATTGGTAGGCGCACACTCACGACTGTAGCCCGCAGTTCCGTGGGCCCAGACAATGGTCCGGAAGGGCTTGTCTTTGCCCTGGGGGTTCGACCATGGGAGCAGTGCGAACGCGGTAACGGGTAGGGGCTTGCCGTCTATATCTTCGCTCATGTAGAAGAAGCGAGAGAGGGACATGCCAGCGGGGACGGTCCAGATCTTAGCGGCCTGGGTGCCCGTGAGGTCTTGCCATTTTACCAAGTCTCCGACGGCGTAGTCTGAGAGGTTCGATGGGTTGGCGTAGAAGGGATCGACATTGACGTCGACATTGACCCAGTCCTTGGTTTCGATAGCTAGTGAAGAACGGTACGTAGCTTCGCAGGTCTCATCGCAGTGGGTGCGAAAGTCTTGGGCTTGAGCACCGATTTGAAGCGACGAGATGGCTAACCATCCTAGGGCGAGGGACCGTATAGCCATGTTTATGGAAGGACTTAGTCCGAAAAGAGAGTGAGTATTTGAGGAGAAAGATTGCAGAGATGAAGAGCTCGATGCTTTGGAACTTCGAGAAATTCTAGCGTCTGCGGACTGATCTTTATATTGCCCCAAAGTCATCGTGCCGATGCCGGGGCCGATATCAGATGCCGTAGTCCAGTTCAATGAATGACTATCTAAGCAAGGGTCTGTCCACATTCACCACGACGTTGCGGTTCTGTAAGCGAGATGCTAGGCTCTTGGCAGCATGTAATGGAGAGCCGTAGGGGCAACGAGGCATACTACTGAATTTTGAACTAAAAGTCCCTAGCGGTCCATGGTCGATAGTCTTGATGGAATGGGTTCTCTCAATGGTACGGACTACCTTCATATTACTTTTGTGAGACCTAGAGTTTCCCAAGCATCAAGATTTGCATCCGTAGCATAGGATTTCAGCTTTACAACACTATTCAACATGAACAAATAGAAAACCAGGAGGCATCATTGAAACATTTCTATTTCTTTGCAAATAAGAGTTTAAGGTTGTTTCCCTGTCCATATCCAAGAGAAATCAGATGATGTGCGGTAGCTGAAGAAGCATTGGAGCTGTAAGTGACCATCAACTAACCGAATCCAGCAGGTCAACGCGCCAATAGAACGGCCGCATGATGCTGAGTGGAGAGGGACACGACTCTATCGACAGTGGCTGTGATATGCTCCGACCGACCGGGCCTGAACAGACCCCGCAAAATTCGAGTCACGGTGGCCGAGGGAACCGGAATGTTTGGATAATAGAGCATTCAGCAATTCAATATCAAATCCCAAGGTCGTTTTCGGTCAGAGAGCAGCATTGAATACTATCCAACTGATATCGACAGCGCCATCATGACATTGACTCAACTGTAAAGCGACCCGCAATGGCAATTGTCAATGGAAGCACGCAATGACACACACCACACAAACTCCAAGTCCCGTCGACATCAAACTATCGCGAAACCCCCTCTTGATTATGCCCCAAGTAAATTGTCATTTTCACATCATTTCCGGGAATCAATATGTCCGAAGTCTTCATAAGCTACCTGACATGAGAGTCAAGACAGCCAAAGAACGGAAGACCGGAAGACGGAGGAATTGTGAAGGCAGTCATCCTTCGTTCTTCCCTCTGGTCTCCCGAAGAATGACAGAAAACTCAGCGACTAAGTCTCGCGAAACAGAGTAACAAACTTCATCATATGGGAATGATATAGCTTGATGAGTTTGGCTCTCATAGGTAAGTTCATGTCAATTGCCGTTCTCAAATCTTAATGCGGCGAGAGTCTGGATTTGGTAAAATATTTACTCTTGCGGCCCGTATCTACTAGCTCTCGTTGACTGTGCATCTTCTCTAATCGTTACCAGCTGCAAGGTGTCAGTAGTCTGTAGGATCTCCGCCTGAGCAAATGTAACTATACTTGCGGGACAAAATAGCCGTCTTTCAGCACCCTCCTAGTTGCTGCATTTGGGGTGGATTAAACTTACCTCCAGCACTTCTCGTACCACTGACTCCTCGGGCGCTAGATAGAAATAGAAGGAAATACTGAGAGATGGGGAACACGTTGCGGCGGGATAAATTAATCATGAGTAAGACTGAAGTACGTAGGGGAGAAAAACACGGAAATCTGCCATCGGCTAAAAACGAGCAATAGACCAAGCCCTTTTAGAAGATGGCAACTTCCTTCACCAGAGATGAGCTGAGAGTCTTATATTGCTCATAGAGCTATAAGTAACACGACTTTCCTAGCGCGTCGTGACTGGCGCAGAGATGTCAAAAGTCACCAGCCAAACCCCGCGTTATTAGCTTCCTGCGTAAGTCCAGCGTAATATCCACTAGCTACTAGCCTCCATCCACGGCTCAGCCTGCTCGGTCCAAATCTTTGAGACGAAGCTGAAACAGTCATCTTTACTCAAGTGACTGCACGTAGGCCTGAGCAGCGCTACAGTCGATGTGGTAGGGGCATCACTTGACGTATCGTACTTCCGTCTCACTTAATCATCAAGTGTCAAGATGCCTTTCAAGGACTCAGAGTGTATGAATAGATAGCTGCTGCTCTGCGTGATAGACTCTCGGAGATATCCCTGATGCCGGGACGCGAATGACCCCCGGCTGAGAAGTCCCAAGAAGATGAACGGTCTTGCGAACTTAATTACACGTATATCCAATGATTCCCCTCAACCCAAAGGGACATGTTATAGAAACATATTGGCTTAGAATATGTCGTGTCTAATTTGCGAAAGAAATCTGGTAAGGTCCGGCACCGCGAGTGAAGTAGCGGTTCAAATCGCAGTCCGCTCCAGGAGCGAGAACGAGGCCCATGAAATCATTGTAGCTCTCTTCGATACGAACGCGGATCGACTTGGTGCCTCTGTTCTTGAAGTTATAAGTGATGTCGTCGTCGCAGTCGCCTTCCGGATCGCAGGAGTCCCTGCTCTTCTGCATCTTGACGGAGATGGTTGTTCCGGCCCAGTCGTAGTTGTTCGTCTGCCCAACTCTTGTCGGCGCCACGCGATATTTGTTGTGCAAGTAGGGTCCGTCACCGCCACCGCCGCGAGGGCACTCCGCTGCGGCGCTGACCATGCCAAGGATGGCGAGGAAAGAGAGGGAGGCAGAGATTTGCATCGTTGTAGAGACTGTGGGGTTTGATCTGTTGGTTTTTGGTATAAGTCTTTGTATCATCGAGGCTTCTTTGGTGATTTACTGACTTGTAAAAGAATGGCAATGTAGTTCTGTTAGAAGCCTACTAATTAGCGTGATGTCGAGCAGCTGATGGAGATAGGTTGTTGACTACCTTACCAGATTCGAAGGGGCTCACAAGCAGTACAAATACCCAGAGATACTGGTGTATAGTCGTCAATTCTACCGCATATTTCAACGACCTGGATATCACTATAGGACGACGTCTCGGATCAAATTGGCCGGCATCATAGCTTGAAGCTTGTTAGATGGAAACTGACTACTTACTCAAGGCTGTGACTACGCCTCGCTTTCGCATGCAGAGCTAGCTCGAAAAGATAAACTCGACAAGCCTCATTCGCTTCGGATACATTGCATTCCTATAATCCCAAGTACATTGGACGTCACCTTGACCAGTTCGTCTGTTGTTGCGACTTGTCCAGTTAGTCGCACCAACTATCGGCCGAAGGCTTGGCACCATGCTAGTGCGCGATTTTGACTTTGTTGTACTATCATCGTGAGATTTAGGTCATCACAGCAATGACTCGTGCCGTAGTCAGCTCGAATTTCTGCTCGAAGCGGACCTGAAGCCCGGGGCCGAAATAAGAAGCGAGGCCCGTCATTGTCCAATTGATCACGTCGTGCACTTACGACAGACTGGTTTCTGAGATGGTCTTCCATCGACATTGAAGACTGTGGCTTTCAGCAGTGAGCGAACGAAGAGGCACAAAAAAGAAACTTCCAAGGACCACATCATGGCTCTGTGGCCTCAAGAGATCTGATGTATTCAAGGTGCCCTAGCGTCATACTTCTGCCTTGAGTCCAAGCACTTTACTGACTTCTTTGGCGAGGGTCAACTAATATAATCGCTCTTACAATCTTACTGCCCTCCCGCAGGCAATGCGCTCTCTGACTCATGTCGGGGATACATACGTGTAGATACGCGGATAGCTCCATATTACGAGGCGCATTTAGCTTTGGTCCGTGAACTCAATCTACCAATGGCTTTCCCATCATCGCAATTGTAGTCTTCTTCAAGGGATCATTTCCGCCAAGTGCCGGCCATCATTGGTCCGAGGCAGCATCAGTCTGCTCCAGCACTTTCCGCCTGGCATTAAAAGAAGCAAGTATTCGTAAGTTAATTGCGTTAATTTGCGCCGGGACATCACGGAATCCATATGATTCGCCAGCCTGACCTCAGGTAAAGACTGGACACTGCGACGTTAAGGGCCATGTCAATTTAAAAATTGGATGTGGGAACTTATTCGCTTCGAGACGCAGTCTATAAATGGGACTAAGCAGCCAAACTTTGGCACAAGTATGTTTCTCTGACCTCAGTTCAGAGGAAGGAAGGGTATTTACTCGTAATGCTGACAAGATTAACGAGCGCTTTCCGAGAGCACGACTTCATCAGGTCTATTTTCCACCCCCACCAATGAATCATTACTCGATCGCGGGCGCCAAAGTGACGACAGCCCAGTGCACCTGAGACTTCTCATCCTTCAACGGCGTCCAGTGCGTGACGAACCTCTCATCGCCGCGGAACAACGCGCTCCTTCGAGTCTGTAAACGGACCTCGACGCTGATTGGCGCTCCAGTGCGAAGGGCGTTCCGTACGCGCGTCTTGTAGTCGGACTGGTGGTTGACCATGTTCTGCTTGAGGAACCGGAAGACCTCCTGGCCCGCGACCAGGCCGACGGTGTTGTTCGCCGGGTGCAGCATTTCCAGGACACCTTCAGAGTAGAATTTGATTATGAAAGAGTCGTAGCTGACAATTAGGTACTGGGACGTTCATGTTAGTAAGGGTGGTTCGCTGCTAGAGGATAGCAAGCTCGGTGGGGTGGGAGTAACTCACTTTTGAATAAGCAGTGTAAAATTCCTTCATCTGTGCGCTCAAGTCGCGTCCTTCTAGCTTGTGCAACAACTTGCTCTCCATGCCCGGATCGGCGGCGATCCCGTTGGGCACATGGTCATCGCTGACCTTCATCCCCAGGGCTTTCAGGAATGCTTTTCGAGCCGAAGGTTGAGAACCTGCACGATGTAAAGGTGCCGGCGGTACCTTGGTATCCTGGGTTTGAACGTCGTCATTGGTAGATGTCGACAGAACTCTCATCACGTCTGCGTTGCTATGAATAGTCGTTGAGCAATTAATCTGGCCGCCGATGAAGAATGCCAGTTTGCCGGCTTCGTTGTAGAGTGGGGCTGTGTAGGAGGATCAGGTTAGCCTTAACAAAACTTGACTTGAGAATGTATGTGTGCGCATTCGAGTGCCTGTAGCACGATCCTAGGGTAGGAT